ATTCAGCAACGAGAGCAGTCGTTGATTAATTTTTGCAACATTCCCAATTGCTGAGTAAACGGAAACTTTCCCCAGAGTCTGGAGAAAGTAATGGAAAAGTAAGAATAAGAATGAAGTTTTGAATTATACAATTCACAGAATTTATTCTTACAAAGATTGGACAATGTTATACACATTCTGCATCCTGGCAAGGTTCTAGGAGTTATGCCAGAGAATAAAACTATCAGTTTGTCACAAGCATCTGGACATATATAATGTGTGCACTCTGTATCCTCACAGGTTTCTGGCTCAATACTTCATAACTGAAGTTTTTATAAAGCTATAAATGATTTTGAAGGTTATATAATGCAACTATTCTCTCCATAGTGTCCAGTTAAAATGTGGCCTCAGTTTTTGACTGAAATTAGGAATAACTGGGAAAGAGGCTTCCCTACTGTACCTAGACTTGCCCCTGATGTTTACTTTTAACCAATATCATTCTAATCAATAGGCTTAACTAACATTCATCTCCTTCAGCAATGAAATGTGCACAAGAAACTGTTAAAAGCTGGGAAAATGGTTAAGATGAGATGAGAATGACTACCCCAGTTTACACTTCAAAGAAAGTCTTTTACAATAAAAACAAAGATAACGCACAAGATTAAAGATCCCAATGTGCAAGTTATGCAACAGCAAGTTATGCAACAGCAAGTTATGCAACAGCAAGTTATGGAACTCATAAGTCAAATGACAGACTTTGTATACTAAGAAAAAAGCCAAATCTTAAGAATGCCTATAATAAAATATTCATTTAAAGGCAATCATGCTTAATATTTTATTATAGATTTCAAATGTCCTAAACATAATATAAATTTCTTATGAGGCTCAAAAATATTTATATTAAAATAGAAATGTGGCAACCCCACTGGCAACCACACATCTGGAATGCTAAACGTCTAACAATGGTTGATACATTCACCATAGAATTTTTATATATATTATATTATCTTATGAGAAAAGAGTCTGCCCACTGCTTACAAAAAAAGAAAAAAAGAAAATGAGATTTGGGAAAAGAATAATGGCTGCCTTAACAGCCACATACAAATGGGTGAGAAAACTATAAAATTAAAATACAAAAAACAAGAGACAAAGTCATGAAAGAATAAGGAATATGAAAAATGAGAGCTATGAAAAGAATAAAGTATAGAATAGAGAATTAAGAGGAAAGAGAATAAAGGTATTCTTACCTGTAAAAATAATTGCTTAAAAATTTGTAAGACACACAAGTTACTCTGTTTGAGCTCTTCGCCTTCTGCCTTGCTCACTTGTCGCCGTAACTCACAGAACTTATCCGAAATGATTAATAAGTCCTTGAGCAAAGACTCAAAATGCTGCAAAAAAAATGAAAAGTCTTAAGTTACAATAATAATCACATAATATACCCACTATAATTTTACACAGCTACATTAATACCAATACTGGAGCTCGCAGGAAAGTTAGATAGGTGTGATTTCAGGGTGGGTCCCATTGTTCTATGGCTTTGAAGCACTGGTCGGTCCTTTAGTATTACGCCATGAGTTAAGCTCACTCAGACAAGCTGTGAGCGGTAAGTGTGCACAATATAAGAAAAATCCTGCAGCTTGTAGTACATAATGGGAAAAAATACTTTGACCGTGTTTTTGGTTTAAAACAGTAACCTTACAGAGTTTTTTGTATGGTTTTTATGGCTGTATTCTCAATTTCTTGGTTTGATAGAATGGAAGATATTTTACACAAAAAGATATGATTTTGATTGGTTTCAGGAGTGAAATTAGCTTGAAATTCAGCTCAAAATAGAGGAAATGTTCGATTTTTGCTGATATTCCAGAGCATACAAATTACATCGGTTGTCCAATTGGCGGGTCTACTATACATAAATGAATGCGCTATTATTATTTATACAATTATTACAATAATGTAGTATTCAGCTTAACAGTAAATCTATTTTTTGTGTGAATAAAAATTCAAAATGGAAAGCAAGCGTAATATAGGAGAGGCCTGAGGACTAGACTAATGAACAGAGTAAATGCTGTTTTAGTGCCAGAAATGTCTACATTGCTTATTCCGAACCCAATTTTGAAACTGGCAATTTTTTAATTTTGTGTGAAATTGGCCAAATTACCAATTTCTAATCACTTTATTGGGTAGCTGAAATAGGCAAATGGACAGTTACTTGTACTCAATTGACAGAATAGAAGTAATACTAGTCAAACAGCTATGAGTCTGGTTAACTGGAACAATGGAATTGCTTGAAAATAAGGCTCAAAGAGAGCGAAATCACCAATGCGTAAATATCGCAGAGACTGTTAAGTTTGCGAGAGCGTCATTCTGTAAATTTTCCATCAAATTTCGCACTTTTGGTTTCATTTCCTTCAGATAAAGATTCTCTATCATTGTAAATATTTTTTTTTTTTTTTGCAAGTTCTCCGACCCTGAGAGCAAGTTTCAGATTATTGGTTCCGACCCTGAAAGGGTTAAGGAGCAATGACCATACTGTACTCTATATTGTATATCCATGTCCTCGCCCCAGAGACAAAGAATGGATTCCTTAAGTTATTGTTGATGTTTAATGACAAAAAATTATGTGCAGCAGTGTTTGACATATAAAAATGATAAAATATTCTCAAAATTTCATATTTTGAAAAAATAAGTGGTGCACAACCCCTCTAATATCAATGACACTCTGAGAACTTCAGCAGCTATTCTAAACACACTGTAATGATTTAAATCACAAATGTGAAAGAGAACAAATGTAATATGATTCTTACCTTTGTCTCAAGAGTCAGCAACATAAAGGAGGTTATGACATGTACGCCTTCTCGCTGTACAAACATGCTGGGGCTTCGCAGGCAAGGTAGCAGCATTTGTTCCCATATTCCTGCATAAAAGTATTTATATTTAAAGAGTTTATTGTTCCATTAAAACTATAAGGGTATACCATTAATTACAGAATGCAAGTGACCTGATAAAGCTGATCTCAAATTTTTCCTTCTAAATATTATTCTGATCTCAGCCAATATCCACCGCATAAGTCATCCTCGAGCAATTAGTAAGCCATCATTAAACCATACATCACTAAATGCTGTCAGTATAAATGAATACTTATGCTCCACATAATGTATAAACTTTCACCAATAAGCTAGAAAGTAAAAATATTAGAAACATTTAATAAAATTTTTAAAGCAATTCAGTTTTTTTCCAATACTGACCAGAAACTAATGCCCCTTTAAAAAAATTACCACTTCAGCTATATTGTTGTTGCAGCATGTCCAGAGTTTTAAAATCTCCAACAAAATGATCTTTCAGCCAAAAATGCCCACCAACAGGCTATGCTGCCCAAGTTCAATAGAAATCTTTGTTTTATTAACGAAGACAAGTAATGATATGTCTCGAGGCAATGAGAAGAGGTGTGATACTTTCATAACACTGTCTGGAAATGAAGCAGAAATAAAAGGAGGTATCCATATTAGGAATACCTAGTTACTAGGGCATTGTGTTTCACAAACCATTTTTGATCAGCCAATAGAGACCAGCTTTATGTTTGTAGATAGCCTGGACGAGAATGAGTGCAGATGAAGAGAGAGATGGATCGCTCCGTATGTTGGGCAGAATAAGCAGGAAGTGACAAAGAACCTAAAAAATAAAAACAATTAGGGGTGAGATCATAGATTAAAAAATATCACTAACATACCCTTCACAACCCAACACAAAGTAGCAGATGCAAAAATGTGCAGTATTCTCTAAAATGTAATATACACTGTTGTTAGTAGTTGGGCTCCCCATGTAACTGTTTTTCACACTCAGACCCTTCTTGCTCTCAGGCTTAGGTCTCTGTACATATGTATGGCAGAGATAAATGGTATAAAATACCAACACAATGTAAAAATAGACACAAATGCAGTATAATGTGATCCTTTAGCGACAACGTTTCACCCACACAGTGGGTTTTATAAAGTCTGTTTGTGACTTGATAAAGTCCACTGTGTCAGAGAAATGTAGTCATAAAAGTATTGAATTACACTGCATTTGTGTCTATTTTTCCACATATGTATGGCACAACACGTATGCCCCTCTAGCTTCCCTGGGCAGTTCAAATGGTCTCTTTAGGCAGGCTGGATTGACTCAAGTCTCTCTTAAATACACACAGCAGCAAAAAGGCTGTCTTATAAGGATATGTCACTGGCTTGTTTATTACCTTAATGGAAAGATCCATAATTCTGTACAGCATTTAAGGCAGACTTTAACTAAGAATAAAATTAATTATTATTATTGTATTATTATTATTAATTAAGTATTATGTTCATGAAAAACACTAAACTTGCATGGGTCATATAGTGCAAGGGGAATGAGAGGCAATTTTATAAAGTTACACAACTGAATGTATAAATATTTGACAGCCACGATGGTGACTATAAATTAGCATACTCGGATGTATAAAAAATGCCTGCGACTTGTTTTGAGGATTCTCATTGTCACACAAACTGACCAGAGGCTAAGAACCATCTGTAGCCAATATTTTCATCCTTTAGTTTTGCAGCATATATATTTTGCGAGTGGTTTTGTTGATACTGATCATGAAATACAGCATACTCTTTGACCAGTCTTGGTAGATAGTCAGTAGTTGTATGGTAATGGGGAAGTGGATATTGTTACTACTTTTCTGAAATAGGGATGGGTTATTGTTTCATAAAGCTTGGAGGGTTGGCCACTCAGGATAACCTAAGAAAGTCAGTGCATCATTGATTACTGTCTGTCCTTCAATCTTGTCCCCCCCCAGGATACAACCCTCACCAGTCGACTAACACCTACTTACTGCTAGGTGAACAGGGCCAGCAGATATAAGGAAACATACCCAACGTTTTCACCAATGCCAGGGATTAAGCCACGAACACTTGTGTGTGTCAGTCAAGTGCGTTGCCAACCACAAAATGAAAAAAAACATGTCAACCAAGAGAAAACCATTATGAGGCATTCTGTAATTCACACTAACCTTTTCTTCAATGAAGATATCAAAGTTCTCTTCAGTGGCAATAAGTGATGCCAAGGCTTTCAGGGCAAATGCTACTGTGGCAGGATTTTTGGTATTGCCTTTGGCACATGTTGCAAGCAGAGCCTCAATGAAGGACACCAAGCCAACTTCTTGTGCCCATTCATATCCTGCAAACACAAAATATAATGAAGAATTAGACACATGTGCAACATCTAGGTATCTTTATTTGTAGATGTTTTATCATCCAGTGGCTTTGTCAATACAAATTCAGGGACATATCAGGAAGACTAGAATTACATATATACAAAATAATATAATAATAATGTATCTTTATTTCTACAAGTACATGTACAAGGTATACAGGCCTAGATAACATCAATGACAAACTCCTATACAGAAAGCCGCTTGTTATGCAAAGCATTTCGGACAAATTAGGTCAGGTTTGTTCCAGGAAGTGATCCACATCAGTCGACTAACACCCAGGTACCCATTTTATACTGATGGGTGAACATAGACAACTGGTGTAAGGAAATACACCCAATGTTTCCACCCCTTCGCTGGGAATCGAACCCAGACCCTCACTGTGTGAAGCGAGAGCTTTTGCCACCAGGCCACGGGGCACCGTGGTAGTCCATCGGTCTTCGCCAAGAGGTTATGAATCTTGGAGATAATAAATGATCAGTCAAAATATTAAGAATATGAAATATTTATTGCTGTATTGACTAGAAAACTAAAGGTAAAAAATTTCCCTTTATGAATGCTATAAAAGTAACACAGGTTTTAATTTATAAGATACATGTACACAAGCAGCTTTTTAAAACATTATAAGAGAAAGTGTCTGTAAAGTATGGATGTATGGGGAAATGGGAGTCAAAATTTTTTTAGGCTGTGAATAAAATATACAAGTTTTTTAAGTAATCTTGAAGGTATATTCATGTTATGAGAGCACGGAAAGTAATTTCTAATGACCACCTAACTTTACTGAGTTATTGTGGGTAAGTAAATTTATTTAGGCACAGGTACACATAGTGTAAATTACCTAGGATAACCCAAAGTCAGACTAGCTTTCCTGGTTAAAAATTTGAGCAAAATCTTCTATATTAAGTAAGTTTATACAGGTACAGGTACAAATAAGTACTGTTACACAAATTTAGGTGATTACAATTATTATACATAGTAACATATGTGTAAATTAGTCTTAGCGATTTATTTCCATTGCAGTTCCTGAGGTAGATTTAACCCAGGATAACCCAATAGTGAAACATTGTGACATTTCTGGTTGGATACCTGGAGTTTTGTCAGGGTCTGATCAACCAAGCTGTTACTGTTGGCCGCATGTAAACCAACATATGAACCACAGCCCGGCTGGTCAGGTACTGCATTTACATGCCTGTCCAGCGCCTTCTTGAAGACAGCCAGGGGTCTATTGGTAATCCCCCTTATGAATGCTTGTAGGTAGCTGAACAGTCTTGGGCCCCTGACACTTATTTTGTTGTCTCCAAGGAAGGGGAGTGCAGCTCCAATTCTCTGGATGAAGAGCCGAAATAAGTCACTTCATGTGAATATTTCTGGGGTGATCCCAGGTAATTTACACATACGTTACTATGTGTAAATACAAAGAAAAGTTTATTTTAACACGGATATATTGTTTATACAGAAATGGATGACACGAGTGAATGGTGTAAGATAATGGTTATGCAGAGTATTGGTATATTTATGTATACCTGTATCTAAATAACCTTACTGACCATTAACATCCTTAGTGAGGAGGAGGTGGAGGTGAGTGTGTAGCTTATGCAGCACTGTGTCATCCTGAAGCACAGCATCTCCCTGAAGCACAGCATCTCCCTGAAGCACAGCATCTCCCTGAAGCACAGCATCTCCCTGAAGCACAGCATCTCCCTGAAGCACAGCATCTCCCTGAAGCACAGCATCTCCCTGAAGCACAGCATCTCCCTGAAGCACAGCATCCTCCTGGCTCACCTGCTCTCCTGACAACTTGTGCAGTACACACTTCACCTTCATGTTCACTTCTACCTTCATGTTACTCATGTTGTTCACCTCTCACTGGTTGCTGGCTTCATCAACACCACCTCCTGCAGCTGCTGCTGCTGATGATGTTACTTGTTAATGGTCACCAAACTTTACGCCTTTACTGCTCCTTCCCGGGAAAAATATCATCACTGATCAAGTTTATTTACACTAATTATCATACATAGTAACATATGTGTACGTTATCCAGGATAACCCAAAAAGTGATTTATTTCCATTGATAAAGTATAAATTTTATTCTACAAAGTATGGGTCGGGAGCTATGAATCAACCCCTGCAAACACAAATAGGCGAGTACATAATTCAGAAAAAAAGAGTAGGTAGATAATTAAATTTATTTAGGTACAGGTACATATAAGTATAATTATCATAGTGTTAATTACCCAGAATAACCATAAAAAGTTAGTGACTTATTTCCATTAAACTCACTTTACAGAAAGCAACTGGTTATATGGAACATTTAGAGCTGCCTTAAAATAATATTATAACTACAGAGAATAGATAGTAGGTATCAGAAGTGATGAGGTAAAGTAAGTAAGTTTATTCAGGTATACACAAATACAGTTACATAGAATTATCATACATAGCAGCATGTGTGTAGAGAACCTGGGATAACCCAAAAAAGTCAGACAGAGTGACTTATTTCCATGCAATCAGTCCCTCAACCTTGGAGAAAAAGTTTAAGGTGGTCAGTCCCTCAGGATGGAGAAGAGTTCACCTTCATAGTTATTATTATAATCACATGGAGGCGCTAAACCCGTAGGATTATACAACGCATGTGGGGGGATGGAAGGTATTTAGGCTCAATTCAGGGAACTGGAGCACAGATCCAATTCCCGAGATCAAGAGCCCCTCAGCATCATCAAGGAACCTCCCTTGAGGGGTATGGAATCTTAAATATTGTCTTACTCATCAACTTATCTGTATATTATACCTTTTTCTACATACTTGAACGGGGAAGGGTTAGTAAGTTTATTTAGGCACAAGTATACATAAGTACAATTATCATATATAATGTAAATTACCTAAAATAACCCCAAAAATATCAGTGACTTATTTCCAATGTGATCCGGCTTAAGAACATAAGAATGGACTCAGTGGAGGAACACTACAGCAGGCCTACCGGCCCATTCTAAGCAGGTTCCTTTCAAACCAAAACCCTCTTATAAATATATTTGTCCAACCCATTCTCAAACATACTATATCTTATGAATAAGTTTTGTCTTCCTAACTCATCTTGTGCAAGTTCCATTCAAATCCAATCCCTCTCACTCGTGCATTTATTTAGCTAATATTTAAAGTTAACCAATGTTTTAGCTGTAATGACCCTACTAGGTAGAACGTTTCGCTCATCGACCACTCTGTTTCCAAACCTGTAAGTTCAATATCCTTTCTAAATCTAAAATTTTTCCAATTTGAATCCATTATTTCGAGTTCTTTCTTGAAGGGATATCCAGGGAAGCTTATTTATATCGCCTTTATTTATGCCCATCGTCCATTTATACAATTTGTCCGACTTTTTGGGTTATCCTACATAATTAACATGTTACTATGTATGATAATTATACCTAAATAAACTTACACTTCAGTCATATCTTCCCTCACTCTCCAACAAGATAATTTAGTTTAATTTTCCCACTGTCGAAGGTGTATCCAATTTCCCTATTTAACCGAAGAATACACAAATAACCCGCACATAGGAGAGAGGAGTTTACCACGACGTTTCAGTCCGACTTGGACCGAAACGTAGTCGTAAGCTCCTGTTTCTTATGTGCGGGTTATTTGTGTATTGTTCCAGTCACAGTATTGTGACTGGAACAGCTTAACCCAAGAAGCCTACCGTGTGGGCGATACGTATGCACATAAGGGGGATTACCAATAGACCCCTGGCTGTCTTCAAGCAGGTACTGGACAAACACCTAAAGCCAGTACCTGACCAGCCGGGCTGTGGCTCGTACGTTGGATTGAGTGCAGCCAGCAGTAACAGCCTGGTTGATCAGGCTCTGATCCACCATGAGGCCTGGTCACAGACCGGGCTGCGGGGGCGTTGACCCCAGGAACTCTCTTCAGGTAATGAAGATACCCAACTGTTGTACATGTCTCTTACACATCAACTTGTCGGTATTTTATACCCTTTTCTACATTATAATTATTCACCACTTGCAACTATCACGAAGTTTTACAATCAAATTTATAAGATAAGATTTCGTTCGGATTTTTAACCCCGGAGGGTTAGCCACCCAGGATAACCCAAGGAAGTCAGTGCGTCATCGAGGACTGTCTAACTTATTTCCATTGGGGTCCTTAATCTTGTCCCCCAGGATGCGACCCACACCAGTCGACTAACACCTAGGTACCTATTTGCTGCTAGGTGAACAGGACAACAGGTGTAAGGAAACGTGTCGAAATGTTTCCACCCGCCGGGAATCGAACCCGGGCCCTCCGTGTGTGAAGCGGAAGCTTTAGCCACCAGGCCACCGGCCACCCGCTAAACTGTGGAAAAAAACACTGGTGTGCAGTTCAGGAGATTTATTAATGGAAACACTTTGCCATACCCATCCTATGGGGGGTTACCTGGAGAAGGTTTCGGGGGGCAACGCCCCCGCGGTTCGGTCTGAGACAGGCCTTATGGTGGATCAGGGTTTGATCAACCAGGATGTTACTGCTGGCCGCACGCAAACTGATGTACGAACCACAGCAAAGTTGGTCAGGTGCCTGTCCAGTGCCTTCTTGAAGACAGCCAGGGGTCTATTGGTAATCCCTCTTATGTATGCTGGGAGGCAGTTGAACAGTCTTGGGCCCCAGACACTTATTGTGTTGTCTCTCAGAGTACTCGTGGCGCCCTTGCTTTTCATTAGGAGAATGTTGCATCTCCTGCCGAGTCTTTTGCTTTCATAGGGAGTGATTTTCGTGAGCAATTTTGGTACTAATCCCTCTAGGATTTTCCAAGTGTATATTATTATGTGTCTCTTTCACCTGCGTTCCAGGGAATACAGGTCAAGGACCTTCAACCATTCCCAGGAATTTAGGTGCCTTATCGTACTTGTGTGTGCCGTGAAAGTTCTTTGTATACTCTCCAGGTCAGGAATTTCCCCTCCCTTGAAGGGGGCCGTTAGTGTACAGCAATATTCCAGCCTAGAGAGCACAAGCGATTTGAAGAGAATCATGGGCTTGGCGTCCCTAATTCTGAAGGTTCTCATTATCCATCCTATCATTTTTCCTAGCGGATGAGGTAGATAAATTCTTGTGGTCTTTGAAGGCGAGATCCTCTGACATTATCACTCCCAGGTCCTTCACATTGTATTTTCGCTCTATTATATAGTTAGAATTTGTCGTATACCCTGATACAGTTTTAATTTTCTCAAGCTTTCCACATGTGAGTAGTTGCGGTAGTCAAAAAGATTACAGAGATACATAATGGGTCCAGGGATTGGGCCCCAAAGTTTTGATAGTTTTGGAGCCCAGTCCCTGGACCTATTATGTACCTCTAATCTTTTTGACTACCCCCACAGGATGGGTACGAGGTGCATAATAAATTATTATTATAATAAAAAAGAAGCGCTAAACCACAAGGGCTGTACAGCAGGTGCATAATAAAGATACTGAACTACTCCATAAACATTTAAGGTGGTTATTACAAATGTTGTTCAAGTACAAATGCGACTACTGATCTATATTTCAGTGTTACTGCAGAGGACATACAAAAACTGAAGGCCCAGAGAATGCATAGCATCTTGGGTAAAACTTAGCCTATCGGATAAGATATGGGGAAGGGTTAATCAGCCAGGATAACTCAATAAAGTCAGTTTGTCATTGAGGGCTGTCTGTCTTATTTCCAATGTGGTCCTTCAATCTTGTCCCACAGGATGCGACCCACACCAGTCAACTAACATCCAGATACCTACTTGCTGCTAGGTGAACACGGACACAGGGACCAAACCACGGACACTCAGTGTGTGTGAGGCGAGTGCGCTGCAAACCAAGTCATAAATAACAAAAAAAGGCACAATACCGTGACTGGAACAATACACAAATAACCCGCACATAAGAGAGAGAAGCTTACGACGACGTTTCGGTCCGACTTGGACCAATGACAAAGTGACACTAACCAGAAGTACCGAACGAACGAACGAAAGTTCAGGTAAGATCCCAAATGGGATGAGCGGGGAAGACGGGACAGACGAAGAGTAGTGCTGGAGAGGAGTGTTCTTAGTCGTAGAAATAGAGCCAGGGCTTAACCCAGAAGCGAAGGCGATCGTGGGACAGATATTGAGAAGAGAAATTCAGGCTCTTCTGTTGGGACTCCGGTGGGGAGAGCGGGGAGGAAGGAGCAGGCGAAGTTTAGCGCTAGAGAGGAGTGTAGAACTGAGCCATGTCTTAACCCAAAAGCTAAGGCGAACGTGGGTCAGAGAATGGTACCTGTCATAGAAGGTACCTGTCAGCGAATCCAAGGTTATTTGTAGAGAGGGTTAGGAGCAGGATCATGCAAGGAGTAGAAAAGGCTGTGTTAGTTTGTGGGTCTGCGAATGTCTTCGTCAAGAAGAGAGGTCCAGTAGTCATGTCGTGTTTCAAGTTTGTCTATCTGTCTGTCACTGAGCGTCTTCCAGTACAGATTCAGCGCAGGGATGTCTAATTGGGCATGGAGAGACTCGCTTGTGGCGAAGTCCTCCCATCTGACATCAAGCACCCAGCGCAGCGCCTTGTTCTGGACACGCTGCAGTTTAAGTAAGTTTGTTTTTGCTGCAAGAGAGAGGGCTAGAGGAGAGTAAATTATCAGAGGGCGTATTTGGGATTTGTAGAGGTGTAGTTTGGTGCGTTGGGAGGCATGCTTCAGCTTGTAGAAGCCCGCAAGGGCCTTACTAGCTAATGCATGCCTTGAGTGAATGTGTCCGTGAAAACGAAGAAGGTAGTCAAGATTAACGCCAAGGACAGTGACAGATTGTGTGATGGGGATGTAAGTGCGGGTGTCAGCTGTTTTGAGCTCGACAGGTAGTGGAGGATCACGTTTCCTGTAATTAAAATACGTAATGCTGGATTTAGCTGCATTGGTTTTGATCCTCCATTTTTGTTCCCATATGGCTATCCTGTCGACCTCA